CCATTATTGCAACGAACCGCCTTTCTCTTCGCCGACAAACTGAATATATACATACAGAAATGTTACCTAGATCTTGACTTTTACGCCTGCTGTGGATAGTTGTGAATGTATAGAGGAATGGGTTGATCGAAGAATTTATTGGCAGGACAAACACTGCAATCCATACGTAAATTTGTTTTGACCGGTCGACGTTGAATCCAGTAATGGAGAGGAAGCTGATGATGATGACAGGCATCCAGCAAAGAAAGTCTGTAAGAATGATGAATGCCACTTTCTTTGAAAGAGACGATTCTCTGTTGGCAGCAGTTGATCGCACAGCAGTTGATGATTTCTTAACTTTTGCTATGATTGCTATGTAGGCAACCAGCATGAATGTAAAGGCAACGAAGGGAAATGCAATGAAAAACGTCACTGAGTATTCCCATCCGGCTTGAAGGTCTGTTGAAAGCGTCAAAGGCAAGCAGACCGATGACCTTCCGTAAAAACCGAAATCGTCTTVGTCGTTCAGGAAGTAATTCAAGCCAAAAATTGGGACAATTGACATAATAAGACCAATAATCCACACACAGCCACAGATAKACAAAGCATTTTTCCAAGTAAGTCTTTTAACTGTGAAAGGAAAGACAAGGCAAACGAGTCTGTCATAAGTAACGATGGAAAGCATAGCCACTGACACCTCGCTTGAGAGCATGGATATCATTCCRGTTATTCGGCAACCAACCCCTGATCGCCACTCCTCGTCATATTTGAAGTATTCACCTTTCCATTTAATGTCAAGAGATGCAATGATGATTAGATAAACTCCCATTAGGAAATCAGCAATTGCAAGGTTTGCCAACAACAGAGAGTTAGTGCTATGTCTCATTTCTATGCCAGAAGTCCGTTTCCATATCACTAGTACGTTTCCAACAAGAGCGCTTAAGCCAAGGATCCAGAGGAAGATTCTCAGAGTSGTGTCTTTCATTAAGTCATCACAGCTAGAGAACTCATTGGATTCCAAGGGCTCACATTGCACATTTTTAATGGCTTTTTCAGCGTAGCAGCAGTGAATGAATTTGTCTAATTTTCTGTAAAAAAAGGGAAGAAATTCACTATAGAATACACATAGAAATAGCTAGCTAATAGGTCTTTTGCATGAAACGGTCACATGGTACAAAATCCGCCATATTGGATGGCAAAAGAATGTAAACAACCTCAAATACAAAAGGAACGCAGCCCGTCAAGCTTGACTTTTCTTTGTTTTGAAAATCCCAGTGGGTACTTTGCCATCCAGTATGGCGGATTTAGTACCACGTGACCGTTTCATGCAAAAGGCCAATTAAGGACTACTGAGTTATTCTGTAATAATTTTGTTTTCAATTCTCTAATTCCACACTATCTACCGCTGTTTATAACTATTTTGTTAGTACTATAATACACTTTTAATGTTTGAACCGTATTTCACAGACCATTTAATCTATGACTAACATATCTTATTATAACTAATTGCGGAGCACTTGGCAGGCTAAAATGGGACAAAAAGAGGCCAATACGAAATGTGAACATAAACTGTTTAATAAATGAAACTTTTTTATTTATTTATTTTTATTTATTTATTTAGAGATTTCCGTCACGGTACTAGATTTACAAAAACAAAAACAAGANAAAACTGGCAAAGGAAACAAGCCAAACGCTGCTGAAGCTATTACTGACGATGAAATTTCTGTTTTGTACGAAAAGGAACTACTTGGTATTTCAAATGCCGAGGCTTTGATCAACACAATTTGGTACATGAACACGATTCATTTTGGACTACGAGCATGCGATGAACATCGACAAATGAAATGGGGAGATGTTCAACTCAAAACAGATACGGATGGAACTGAATATTTAGAATATTCCGAAAGACAGACAAAAACTAGAACGGGTGAGGATCCCCGAAATATCAGACCAGTAAAGCCGAAAGCATTTGCAACACAAACCCACAAGCCCGACAAAAATCCCGTGTTTGTTTATAAACTTTACGCAGAGAAAAGACCTTTGTCAATGCAAGACCCAGATGCACCGTTTTACCTTGGAATAAACCATGTGAAAGACTCTTCAAAAACTATCAAGCCTTGGTTTAAAACAGCTCCGATGGGAGTCAATAAATTGAGCAGTTTAATGAGAACAATGTCAGAAAAAGCTGGACTTGATGCTGATCGCCGACTAACAAATCACAGCGCTCGGAAAACTATGGTCCAAAAGCTGAATGATAATAACATTCCCCCTACACATATAATGCAGCTATCTGGACACCGGAATGTACAGAGTATTAACAATTATAGCAACATAACTAAAGAACAGCAAAAAAACATGTCAACGATTTTGAGTGCTCAAAGTACAAACATGTCAACAAGCGCTTCGCTTGTTCAGCGACCCGTGAAGACTACTTTGTCGGCAGAAACCCGTGAAGTTTCGCTCAGCACCAAATCAAGTTTTATCCCAACAGGCCCATTTTGTGGAGCCACTATAAATGGTGGGGAATTCCACATAACCATAAACTCTGAAAAAAAATCACCTAAGTTGCATGAAAACTCTTTTGCGACACAACGTAATTTCAAGCGTATCAAGCGTGTCTTCGAATCGTCCGATGAAGAGAGCCCGCCAATTGTTTAAAAAAAACTATATTTATTTCTTTGTCCTATTTTGACTTTAACCGAAAATAGTATTGATATTATGACTTATAAACTTTACTTTGTAAAGGATGAGCATGTTAAATTGCTTTTGAACATTCAATTCAGCTTTTTGTTTATTTTGTTACAAGCTCTTTACTAGAATTTATTGTTATGCTTGGTTAGCTGTACTTTTCAGAGTATTCTCAGACTTTTGTAAAAAAGACTCTAATAAATATTTTCAAGAAAATCTCAGTATGTATAAAATAAACAAATTTCAGAATGGAAAGTCCTTTGTACGAGATTTACGCACTCGTTAGGCTTGTATCAGAAACCTCACTCGTTCGCTACGCTCACTCGTTCGGTTTCTGATACAAGCCTAACTCGTGCGTAAATCCCGTACGGCAGGACTTTCCATTAAGAAATCTATATTTTTCACATGTGAAAATATAACCAATCATAAACACAGAAAAACCGTAATCAGCCAATCAGAAAGCGACGTTCACAACACTGAAATGGCTTCACTTCAAACTCACATATCGCGCGTTGATGGCAAAATGGCTGAAGATGAACTGTGTTTGTTGATCAAAATTCCACATTTGAGAGTTTATTAGTGGACAGGAAGGCAAACAAACTAAAGCAAAGTAAGAAGAGATGTTTTTCTTCAAGAGAATTAAGTTTTTTTGACATCCAGAATGAACATGAAAGCATGGAAAACATCAGCCGAAACTATAACTTAAACGAACAGAAATTTGTCTCGTTGGTGTTCACTGAGTTCAGGCCGTTTTATACCAAGTTTTGATCGTTTTCTGCAAAATTTAAACTTATCTCCATGCAATATAGAAAGACAGGACTTCAGTAAGACAAGAGATGTACCTGTAGGAAAGCAAAATAAGCTCAAACAAAGACGGAAATTGCAGCGCGTTATCTTACATACCGACCAAGAGAAGTAGTTTTCTCGGCGAAGAACTGTTATTTGTTCCTCAACTTAATATAAAATCTCACGAAAACTTGGACGTTCCTGCAGCTTAGTGGAAAGTAAGACTATTAATTTAGTTGTTTTTTTTCGTAAGCCTTAAGTTTTATCAAGTTTATTAAGTTTAATTTTCTGTGCTTTTTTTCGACATAAGCTCATTGAGTTTGTTTCTTAAAATAGTCGAATAAGCTTATTAAAAAGTATTCCGAATGAAAGTCTCGTTATATATATAATAAACAGCTTATAGCATGAAAAGTGCTTTGTACGGTATTTTATTCACTCGTTGTTTGCATCATAAACTCACTCGCTCGTTCCTCGCTCGTTCGTTGTATGATGCAAACAACTCGTGAATAAAATCCCGTACGTCGCACTTTCCATGAAATAAACTCTATGTATGTGAGTTTATGTAAAAAGTCGATTTATAGCATGAATATACAATAATTACGCTATTAGCTGCTGTGCGGATTATTATAGCTACCCGTAATCTCTGGAGGCGATTTTCAAAACTTTTATGAATTTTTTTCCCCTCTTACTATAATCTGTGACAGGGTAGGAATCGAAGTCCTCCATATCGACTTCGAACAGCTCTAAATTTGGTCGATTTGTTGGTCGAAATTCGAATCCTAGCGCAATGTGCCTTTGCACAGCTGTCAACTAATAATTTAGCACTTCAGAAATGCTGGTTTCATCGAGCCAGTTGATTTTCCTGAGCCATGAGCTCTCCTGAGGCAAGTGAATCCGTGCCAAAACCGCCATTTTGCATGCGTCATGCTTTTGCATTGTACATTTATCGAGTTATGGATGCACTAATAGTAGGAGGTTGACTTTATTCAATTGAAGAAGT